GAGGTCAGCTTTGGCTCAGGGTCTGTTGTTCAGTCTCAGCACTTCAGTGACAGCCAGACAGGGCTTTATACTATACACACACTTTCCATATTCATTAGATAGTCTCCCTCTACTTAAGACGTAGACATTACTTTACTTTACACAGTCACCTCCCCATTGCAAGTCCTTAGTTGGTCCTTTGGGGTCTTTTTCAGGGGTCTCTGGTGGGTGTTTTTGGCATCTGATGCCCCCCAAAGTTGAGGTGTCCACTTCTTGACCTTGGTTCTGAGCAGACACAATATCATTACCTTTCACCACAAAGACTGTAACGTTTGGGTTTGATCTTCTCTGGGCCCACAGAGCTCAGCTTCCATCCTGTTTGCTTAGTTACATCCCCGATCGAATTCTCTAGGACCTCTCCAAGGTTATGGTTTTCCTTCCTTGGCCATAGAGAAATGTTGGGAGCAGTGTTCTATACCCCACATCAAATCCCTCCTTTTCTTCAGATTAAGCTCCTGAAGGGATGGAGTGCCTTAGGAGCTTTATTTCATTTTACAGCTCAAGGCATTAGAACAGCTACAGCACTGAGTCATGATGCAAGCTGAAATACAAATGCCCTTCCAGCTTTGGGGCAACCCTTCACAGGTGTTATTTCCACACAGCCAACACCACCCTGTTCCATTGGGGACCGGCCAAGGATCAGTCATTTCCCCAGCAGGAAGGGTTTGAGGACATTGGCTGTGATTTCCCACAAACGTGCCCCTTTCATTAACACAATCCAGTTCTCCTGTCCCTTTAGTGGGGGTCACAGCTTTGGACACAGGCAGGATTGTCAGAGATGTGGGGGGAACTTGCACACTAATTGCTGGGTCTACTTTTTGGGGAACACAAGTGCTCACCCAGTGACCAGGAATCATTTCTACCAGAACAGGGGAGGCAGAAATGGGGAATGGCTTCCTTGTCTTTTCAGGTAAATGAGTGCACACCCAAAAATCCCTTGGAGGCAACACTTAGGTCACATTTGAGACTAAAAGGAGATGTAAATTTTTCTCCCAAGTCAAGACCCAATTAACTATTGTCAGGAGAGTAAAACAAGACTAAAGCATTTGGTTTCTTCTCAGGTAACCTCTCAATTACCCAAGGGGCTCTGGCCTTTTGAATTCTGGAATAATGCATCCATGATTTGACTTCTTGTACCACTTCTACAATCAAGTGGAAACCTCTATCTGATGACATTCCCAAATGTACCTCGAATCCAGGGATTCTTGGATATTCCACTCACTTCCCTAGCCCAGTTGATGTCACAAGGGAAAAACCTCTGGTCACTCAGAGAAGGTATCCCCCAAGACTAGGAAATCTTTACACCCCCTTTTCTGGGTAATTCAGTCAAATCCATCTGCCAACATTCACCTGGAACATTTCCACACTTTACCTCACTTATTCCCACTGCATTGGTAGGGTTTGGATCATTTCTCTTACACACACCACACTGCTGATTCACTGCTTGTACAACTGGGGTCAGTTTTGCACCCCTAACCCACCTGTGCAAATGTTACAGTACAGAAACAAATACAAACACAAAACAATGATCAGTGGATAAAACAAAGCTAGAGACCAAATTGTGGAATACCAAATAACCCACCCAAAGTGCTGGAAGATCCACACATCTTACATGAGCAGGATTCCCCAAAAGAATGTCTTATTATCCAATGGGATCTTCCCCACATCCCAGACTGGGCCGGGGATCTGTGGTCTTCTCCAGGAAAGTCCTGGTGCTGGTGTGAAGATCCAGAGATCCCTTGGATCCATGGGAGATCAGGCAGAGGGTCCCACCTGGGGCCCAGAAATGATCCCCACAAGCAGCAGAACCCAAGCCCTTCACCCCAGTTTGGGGTGTTAAGAAGCAGGCATTCTTTAGGGCAGTGTGATGGACGTCTGCAGGAGAGTTCTTCTAATCCAGCCTGCTCAGGGACACAGACAGGGCTTGGGATTACACACACTGATTCCAGAGTCACTGGATATTCCCCCTTACTTAACACAAGTCCATTACTTTGCTTTACACAGTCACACCTCTATTGCAAGTACTTATTTGGTCATTTGGGGTCATCTCTGGGGGTCTGGTGGTTTTTTTGGCATCTGGTGCCCCCCCAAAGTCAGGTGTCCCCTTCTTGACCTCGGTTCTCAGCATCACTGGTTTTCCCCACAGAGACCATCATGTTTGGTTTGATCTTCTCTGGGTCCCCAGAGCTCAGCTCACATCCTGTTTGCTTGAGTTACAGCCCTGATCCAATTCTCCAGGACTTCTCTAAGATTCTATTGTTCCTTATTTGGTCAGAGCAGAATCTTGGGAGCAACGTTCTACTTCTCCCAAAGGCTCACCCTGCACCATCTGCTGCCAAACAAGGTCAGACATCGACTGCCATGGCCTTGACCACTCTCTAGATACAGAAAGATCACATTTTGCTTACAATCAGACATATTTTGTTAATGAACAGATACAAACAGGATTCGCTAATGAGCCCAGACTAACAGATCTGACTAATAAGCACAGCTGTTTGGTTCAGGAGCAGATACACAGGTGGAGTCCCATCACACCACATTTTTACCAACAAATAGACACAGTTTTAGCTAAGGAGCAGATACATGGAGACACAGCCCATTAGGTTGGAAGGTTCATCTAGAGCTCAGCTTTGGCTCAGGGTCTGTTGTTCAGCCTCAGCACTTCAGTGACAGCCACACAGGGCTTTACATCACACACACTCTTTCCGTATTCATTACAGAGTCTTGCTTACTTAATACATACACTTGTAGGCAACACTTGGATCACATTTGGCACTAAAAAGAGATGTAAATTTTCCTCCCATGTCAACAGTGTTTGAACTGTTTTCAGAAGAGCAAAACAAAAGTTAAGCATTTTGTTTCTGCAATAAGTGGGAACCTCTGTCTGATGACATTCCCAAAGGCATCCCAAATACAGGGAGGATTGCACTGAACAATATTGCAGTCTCTTTCCAAACCTGCTTAGCGCGACAAGGAAAAGCCTCTGGCCATCCAGAGAAGGTATCCTCCAAGACTAGGAGATCTTTACACCCCCTTTTCTGGGCAATTCAGTCAAATCCATCTGCCAACATTCACCTGGAACATTTCTACACTTTACATCACCTATTCCCACTGCATTGGCAGGAGTTGGATCATTTCTCTTACACACACCACACTGCTGACTCACTGCTTGTACAACTGGGGTCAGTTTTGGACTTATAACTCACTTGTGCAAATGTTTCAATGATTTGCTTCACTCCAAGGAATACCCTCATGTTCCCCATCCACCAGGTCACATGAGATTGGTTCAGGGACTATTATTTGCCCACCTGGGGTAACTGCCCAGTCTCCTGGAGTAAATTTTGCTCTAAGGTTTCAATGAGCTGACAATCCTTAGCACCAGACTAATTTTTTTCTACTGGGAGAGGTATCTCTGTCAGGGTTATTAAAGACAAAACTTTACTCTCTAAAGTGCCTTTTTCTGCAGCCTCTTTGGCAGAATTATGGGCCAAATGATTCTCCAGTTCTGCTTTGGTCTTCTCCTCTTGGTGCACTCTGCAATGCAGGACAGCAGCCTCTGTTGGTTTCTGGAGATCGTCAAGCAAGTCCAAGGATTAACTTGTTCTCCTTGACTTAATTCCAAAGCTGCAGGGAGCACAATTGGTTCTGCTTTCTGGGCTGAGGCACTGCAGAGGAGTGCCCCCAATTCCATGACCTGCTGGGGGAGTTCCTGTGCATCCAGAGAATTGTTTTCCATTCTGGACAAAGCTGCCCCCACTGGGAAACAATTCCCAACCAGGACTTTCCAAGGGGCTGTCTCCTGAGTCAGCTCTGCCCAAATACACTTCTCCTCTAGTCTGGAAGCAATCCCGCTCTAGGCTTCCTTTGCTGGGGCTGGGGCAGTTGACAGGTTGCTTCTTTCGTTCCTGGCCCAGCCTCCATTGTCCTTGGAGAATTCCAAAGCCCAGGGAGGCTCCTGGGGTCTGGACTACTTGTACTTTGTGTTTGGGACACCCCATATCCACCCAGTCCAAGGAAATTCCATAGTGTCTGATCCCAACATTGCTGCTCAGCATCAGTGGCTATCAAAATATCATCTACACACTGGAATAAGGCTCCAAGAGGGTTTTGACTTTTCCATTCCTACAGTTCCTTTGCCAATTGAGTTCCAAATATTGGGGGGCTATTTTTAAACCCCTGCAAGAGGACCACCAAAGTCAGTTGGGTTTTCCTCCCTGTTTTTGGATTTTCCCATTTGAAAGCAAAAAGCTCTTGACTTTCACAACTCAAAGGGAGACAGAAAAAGCCATCTTTCAAATCTAATACTGTGAAACATATTAAACTTTCATTTAGGGGAGTTAGCAAAGTGTAAGGATTCGCTACAACTGGTTGTATATCTTCTACTCTATTATTTATAGCTCTGAGGTCTTGGACTAACTGGGATAGCCTTCCATTTGCCTGCTTGACTGGCAAAATTGGAGCATTACATTTAGATTCACATTCTTTTAACAAGCAAAATTTCATCGCTTTTTCTACAAAGGGTGAGAATCCCTCACAACTTTCTATTTTTAAAGGCTATTGCTTTGGTCTGACCAACTCTGCTCCAGGTTTCACTGCAATTCTCACAGGTTCTGCTCTTTTGGATCATGGAGGCACCTCTCCAGCCCATCCTATTAGAATCACTGCATCCCCAGGTGATGTTGGCAGATGGATTAGTTCCGCTTTTGGAGACTCTCATGCAAAACTAGAATCTTCCACAGAATTAGGCTCTGCAATAATAACCTATATTTGACCATTTTTAAATTGGATTGTGGCATTTAATTTTTCCAAGAGCTCTCTCCCAAGCAGAGGTTTTGGTGAATTGGGGAAATACAAACACTGGGGAGCCAACCACTGTTTTCCCAATTTAAAAGCCACAGCATTAAAAATGGCCCAGTTTCCCAATTCCCTGGCACACCAGACAATTGTTCCAGAATTGTGACTTGAGTTTCATTTTCCCTTATTTAACACAGAGGAACAAGTTCCCACAGCCACAAACAATTGTACTTAGCTTGGCTGGAACCAGATGTTCTGATGGGGAGGAATCCTCTGGTGCCCCCTCAGTTGTCGTCAGTGATGCCAGGAGAGGGTTCGGAGGGTTCTGAAGTTTCAGTTGTGGACAATCCCATTTCCAGTGTCCATCTTTCTTACAGGATGCACAGGGATTGATCCCAAGTCTCCTGGGGGGATGTTTGAAGCAGGCTGCCCATGCTCTCATCCTCTTCCTCTCCCCGGGGGCACCATTTCCTCAGGGATTTCTTCCAGAACTGCAACTCCTTCCTGCTGAGTTGATTCCCGCTGATTCTCCCAACCTCCAACAATGTCCTGAAATTATCTTGATCTTGTCCCTCAGGTTTTTGTCATTTCCTCCTAACCACATCTGAGGACTGCCCCACAAATATGGGGGCCAGTTGAGTCCTTCCCCCCTGTGTTTCAGGATGGATATTAGTATATTTTTGGGCTGTTTCTTCCAGATGATTTAAAAATTCAGTAGGCTATTCCCTGTGATCCTGCTTCATTGCAAAGAATTTTGACGTGTTCATTGCCTTTGGCCTGGCATGTTTCATTCCAGATAACGTCCACTGCAGGTATCTATTGAACCTTTCTCTAAAAATAGGGATGTTAGGATCCTGTTTGGAATCTGCAGTGGGAAAGGAAATGTCCAATGTACCCTGGATATTCCCCACCAAAATCTGCTCTTCCAAAAACCTCTGACTAGTTTTAACAACCATTGCTTTCTCCCTACTACCAAACAACACTTCTAACATAGGATCCTTCTAGCCCGGATCCTGGGTTTGAATCATCATTTTGAATGCTTTTGCCATTTAGTCTGGGTTCTATCACACAGGAGGGCCACTCCCACCCCTCCTTGTTTAGCTCTAGTTCTTCCTGCAGCCACACTGAAGCTCTCTGCTCTCTCTCTGACACGTTCTCTCTCCCTTTTCTTCTGGATATGCTAAATCTGCCTCTTCACATCCCAGTTCCCCTACAAGATTGGTTTCTGCATCTTGATTTTCTGTTCCCCCACTCAACCTGCCCGTGGGGCCAACCAGAAGATCTAACTCCTCCTCCTTATTGGGGAGACGATGCGAACAAAGTTCTCCTGTGCTCCACATTGAACAACAAGGCTTTAACCATTGCCCTTGATTTTCCTTTCCGGGCTCACACCAAGGGCTCTGAGGGCGCTGCATTCACACCACAATCCTTCTGCCATTTCAGAGGGTTCTGCAAAGTGAAAAACACATCACCAGACATAACCTCCTTCCACTTCTGTTCCCGTTCTGAAATAGCATCAACTGTAACAATGGATTATAATTCAATGTTCCAGAACAGCCACCCATTGATTCCAACACTTCATTAAATTGTCCCTGGGAGCTGTTCCTCTGGGGGGGCTGCCAAACTTCATCCAAAATTGCAAAATGCAACGAAGTGGGGACTTCACAATTCCCCCTTCAGATTGCCCACTTCCCATCTCTAAACAGTAGACCCAAAATGTTACAATACAGGAACAAATAAGAACACAACAATATTGATCGATAAAACAAAGCCGAATACCAAATTCCAAAATAACCCACCCAAAGTGTTGGAAGATCCACAGGTCTCAGATGAGCAGGATGCCCAAAATACCAAAGAACCCCCCAGTGCACTGAAAGATCCATATGTTTGACATGGGCAGGATTCCCAAAAAGATATCCTTATTATCCAGTGGGATCTTACCTGTGTCCCAGACTGGGCTGGGGATCTGTGCTCTTCTCCAGTAAAGTCCTGGTGCTGGCGTGAAGATCCAGTGATCCCTCAGATCTGTGGGAGATCAGGCAGAGGTGTCCTGTCTGGGGGACCAAAGATTACACCCAAAAGCAGCAGAAATAAACTTCTTAACCCCAATTTGGAGATGTTAAAAAGGGCATTCTTCTTTATTCAGCTTCTGGGTGTTCAGAGGAGAGCTCCTCTAATCCACTGTGCCAAATGACAGACAGGGCTTTTTATTACACACACTCTTTACATGTGCATTCCATAGCCTTGCTTACTTAATACATATTCATTACTCTGCTTTACATAGTCACACTCCTTTTGGAAGTCCTTTTCTGGTCCTTCCAGGCCTTCTCTGTCATCTTGGCCTCAGTTCTTGAGCAGCACAGCACCATTGTGTTTCTTTTATCTGGGTACATAGGGCTTAGTTTACATCCTGCTGGTTTGGGACATCCCTTATCTAATTCTCTAGGACTTCTCCAGGATTACATTGTTCCTCATTTGGGCACTCCGGGGTACTGGGAGTAGAGTTTCTATTTCTTCTATCAATGGTTTGATGGAGACCATGACGAGTTGGGAACTCATTGCAGGGAAAAGAGGGAGCAGTTGGGAAGTAACAGGCAGGTGGGGGAAAGAACTGTTCAGAGAACAGCTGAGATACAGCTCGAGCAAGCTGAAAACTAAACTGTCATTTGGGGTCATCCCAGATTGATTGGATTTCAGAAACTACTCAACACAGGTGCCACCTCCTCCAGCCAAGCCCAGGAGATCAACCTCCTCAGCAGCTGCAAGAGTGGGATGTTCATGTGCCTGCTGCCATCTCCCAAAAGCCACTATCCCACTCCTGCTGACAAGATGGGCAAGATGAGGATCTACCTCACAAGATCTGCTGCTGGAAGAAGAGCGTGTCCCAAAGGATGTCCTCAGCCTTCTCAGAGGGGACGTCAGATCCTCTCCAGGGCTGGTCCCAGCCCTTCCCAATCCAGACTGGGCACCAGCTCCAACTCTTCCCTCGAAAACAAGCAACAAATTCATGACAAGAGATTACAAACAAAAAGTGGAAACAAGAAAAAAAGGTAAAATGTTAACATGCTGTCAGGGTTCTGAGGAAGGCCCAACCCCTCCACACCAAAGAAAAACCCCACCTCCCCCAGCTCAGGAAAACCCAGGCCTTCTCCCTGCCCTGCTGCATTGCCCCAAGAAAAGGCTCCTAAGCCAAGGCAGCCCAAGCCTTTCCTGGCCTGCAGCCCAAAGCAGCTGGTGTTCTGCAGCCCCGCCTTTGCTCCCCCCACGGGGGTTTGTTTTTGGCAGGCTGGCTGCCCCTGCCCCAGCCCTGCCCAGCAAAGGGGCAGTGGCAGAGGCTGGTGGCAGAGCCAGGCTCCCATTTCACCCCCAGCCCAGAGCACCCGCCCACCCTCCTGCCAAGAAGCAGCTTGGCAGCTGGCTGAAGAATTCATCGGGTTCCCCGCCAGCAAAGGGGGAACCTTCGGTGCCCAGCCAGGCTGAGCAATGCCCGCGTCCGGGAGCACCCCCGGGGTGTGGACTCATCTGCAAACGGCGTGTGGAGCACGTCTGGGAGGAAGGGGCCAGGATCAAAGTCCATCATCTTCAGCTCGCCGGTGTCCAGGTCAACAACAAAGAGCTTGTCATCCCTGACGTCATCCTTGATGTCTCCAGCAGCAGGCCCACCCGGCACAGCTTCTGCAGAGGCCCCTTCTCCTTCCCTGGGGGCCAGACCAGGCTGTCAGTGTTCTGCCAAGGGCCCAGCTGTCTGTGAAGCGGGACCAGCAAAACCAGGTTGGATGGTGGCCACCAGCACTTGGAAGACCGGGTCTGCAGCCCAGCTCCAGCACAAAGAGGGGCGTGTTCCCGTGTGATGACCCCCCCTCAGTGCTACAGGCTGACAAAAAAGTCTGGTTTTCTTTGCTTCTTATTGCCAAGAAATGTGTGGAGGTGTTACTTGCCAGGCCCCTGGATCAAAGTGAGCACGTGGATCTCTCCTGTCTTCTAGAGCAGGTGAATGCCCTGCACCCAAGGATGGCACAAAAGGTCTTCCAATGCTGGCCTGTCCGAGGGGCGGATGGACAAACACCACCTGATAAGGTGCTGGCACCCTGGGGGGAAAATGGCCGGTCAGTTGGAGAAGGATCCTGTCCCCTCTGTCCCACTGTCCACGTGCCCAGGCTGTGCTGGCTGTGCTCAGAGCTGTGCCCAAACTTCTCCATCGATTCTCCCTTTTGGAGGAGAGCAGGATGGCAGGACACAGGCCTCCTCCTCCAGCCACCCATGGGACACAAACAGCTTCAAGAGTGGTGTCCTTGTGAGCCTGCTGCCCTCTCCCAACACTGTTATTCCCCCCATGCCACAAAGATTGGTATCCACCTCGAGAGACCCGTGGTGGGAACGGGAGCTGGTCCCAGATGGTGTTGGTGCCTTTGCAGAAAGGGTGCTTCCCGCAGACCATCTGGTAGAGCAGGATGCCCAGGGACCAGATCGTTGCCGCCTCGCCGCGGTAGCGTTTGAAGCAGATCCACTCTGGCGGGCTGTATGACGGTGTTCCTACGGAATACAGACGGAGTTCGTCAGGTGGATGCTGCCTGCTCCCAGAGCCTCACCCCAGCATCCCTGGCAATGTGGGG